ATATCTGCATTTGAAAAGGAAGATTAAGTTCCTACGCCAGCAAAAGTAAAAAAGAAATTGCTTACATACTCATAAGCCTCTCAAGCTCCAACCCAGTGATGGGATAACCTTTCTTTCCCTCTATAATGCCTCCTCCCTTTTCCCTCGGGGGCAACAAAAAATGGTCAACCGCCACCTCTGCCCTCGGGCAACAACAATTGTTGACAAACTTTTCCCTGGACGAGGCTGATGGGTCAACCACAGCCCCGACTTTGCTCGGGCCAGAACCCAAGGGTTTCTGGATCCTCTTTGGCGACTATTTTTTGGGCCCCTCAGAAGAAGCAACTCAGTTGATCGACTCTCGCCTCTTTTCTTTCCTGACCACTTTTTTCTTTTTTGGGACAAATGTCGGAGCAGGTAGATACCCAACTAAAACCGGTAGCTCCGAGTCGACCGTCTTGTTGCTCATGCTACCCGACATGATGTCTACTCAGCAACCTGGAAAACATTGGCAAAAGATGAACAACTCAACTCCGGGCATGAAAATATTGGGAGAACTAATCATTAAATTTTCTTAATTTTTGTGACACAGTTAAGAAAATTTTCCTGTTCTTATCGCAGATATCGCCACAAAGGAACAATAAAATTCAGAAAATTAAAATGTATACACTAGAACTAGCGTCACAAATCTCAAAGAGAACGAACAACAAAAAAAAAAACAAAAAGCTTCCCTTAAGGATAAACAGTCAACCGACAAGTCACCGCCAATCATATGAAACTGCGTCTCTAAATCCGGGACAGGTCAAATCTCTGGGGATGGCCCCTCATCTGATACCTCATAGAAGTAGCGCAAAATCCACCTAAGACCTTACAAATAGTGGTATTTGGTTGAGGCGACGAATCGACCAGGTAGACGAGACGTAAGTCCTGTAAAACTTGAGCCAAAGCGATAAGTGAGTCACAATTCACCCAACAAAAACAAATAGACTCATCAGTCGACCAACCGACTGACAGAAGCGCAGACAGGAACTCTTTGATCGCGATTGTACGACCTACCTGCTCTTGCCGCGACAGACGAGATCGTCGCTCGATCGAACGCCTCGGTCGACATAACATATGGCACAATAGTCATCCAGTCTATCGCCTAACTCGGCCGCATTCTAGCGAATTAATCAACCAATTACCGTCATATTAAAAGTCAAATTGAAATACAAATATGAAATGAAATTCATACAATTTATTAGAGCATTGATCATATTAATAATGCTTTTCATAACTGTTTCTTTCTTTCTGTAATTGTACCAAATACATTCTTATAAATAATAGAAAATGACGACCAAAAGGAGGCAGGTCAATGGGACCCCCGGGTTCTCTCTGCAGTAACTCTTGATTCACTTTGTTCTCTTCTTCATTTGACAATTAACTCTCTAGGCGTGTACAAAAAAGACAATCCAGGATCCAACTTTTAGGATCAATTATATTTTTGATTGGGGGCATTTAAATACATACCACCCAATTCCTATGTATTTATATGTCTAATACCTTTACTTCGCTTTTTTACATTTATACCAATCAAATCTCTGATACCATATTAAAAATACCACCATTTCAAAAAAAGCAAAATACACCTTTTCATGCTCAGGTAAGGAGGCATGGATGTAAAAATTAAAGTTAAGATGTTAGATATGTAATTGAGTGGTATGCATGTCAATTTTTCCTTTTGCTTTTTTAAAAGTAAAAAAATATATATTTGTTTAGCGAATTCTTTACTTTTTTTTTTATTTTTAAAAGTAAGTTAACATGCTTTTGAAAACACTCAAAATAACTTTTTAAGTGCTTAGCTGTTTTGGAAGTAATCATTTAGTAATTAAATATGCCAAATATTTAGTTTCAAATCAAAACATAAATAAAATAAAATAAAAAAATAAAAACAAAAAATAAAGGTGTATTTATTTTGAAAGAGGCAATTTTTTTCACCTAAAATAAAAGTCTTATTTAATAGAGGCGGAAACCTTTTCGTAATGTCAAATTGTTTTTTTCTTCTGAATATTCTCAAGTATACTCAAATTTGAAGTTTCCTCGAATTGCAAAAATTACTTAAATAGTGTTCTAAAAGTGGCTTATGAGATGATTTGCTAATAGGATGTCTCACAATTTGATCACCATCATTATCATCTTTAACATTATACAAAACTTCTTGTGATCTGCTGAATATATTTGGTATTACATCTGTTTTTCATAAACTGTTTTGCGCAATTTCTATCCATATGACTTTTGCCTCTCTTTTTTCCGTAGTCCTTTGACATTAATTTTAAATTTACATTTTATTGATTCATGCTCTACCCCTGCAGTCAAACTACTTATAATTTTTTTCATTATTTATTTTTTTAGATACTATTTTCAGTTTCTCTTGCATTGTGATCTCTATTCTGTTTCTTGTTAAGACGGTGTTTGGTAGCATATTATTTATGAAATTTAATCATAAATTTAATTTAAATCCAGCTAAACACCAAAAACAAATAAAGAAAATAAATCTAACTCCCAGTTAAATCTCATTTTCTCGCTTTCCGTCACTTTTGAGACGTAAATCCAGATTTCGTAAATCCGATTGCGAGCCATATTTTTTCCGTTGTCGCTTGTGATCTTTTCTGATCACCGACCTGATTTGATAAATCCATATTTATTGAATTTCATAAATTCTATTTAACATTAATCTAATATGCAGCCAAACACCGATTAAGTTTTCCACATCATTCATAATGAATTGGACTATTAATGTTCGCTTCTCAATGCTCTAGATTCATATTATACATCTGTTGTGAAAAAACAACGACAATAAAGCGAAAAATGGAACGAGAAAAATTACACGCAGAAAAACACTAGAGCGACATATATTTATGTGGTTCGACAAATTTGCCTATGGCTACGAAGCTGCAGAGGATTTTACTTATTCTAGGAATTACACCATCGAACTTCTTGATGTTTACAAAAAAATCTCTATTTTCTTCTCTTCCTTCCTCCCTCTCTCTCTTCCTCTCTCTCTTAGAAAATTTGGCTTGGCCTGACTTGGCTTTATGCTTTATGACAAGCCAAGAACGACTTTTTATAGAAATTAGAAGAGCTATAGGTGAGAGGTAGGTGAGCTGTAGGTGAGATGTGGTAGGTGAGCGGTAGGTGAGATTCTTAATTAGGAAGCTAATTAACAACAATTAATTAAATTGCGGTGGATCGGGTCTTCACATTACCCAACAATTCTCTCACTTGGAACTGAGACACTGATTGCATCACCTACTGGTTACATCATCTACTAGCTGTACTAACATTTTCTTCAAACATGCATCACCTATTTTATCCCATCCCCACAATATCAAAAGCATTTCCATCAGCCAGATATACCTTCCCAATGTTAACTGGAACATAATTTCACATTAACTCTTGGCAGGAAGATGTATGGAAGGAATCCCCTGAATCCAGTATCCAGTCATCAACAGAACTGTGAACTGCTAACAATAGTGCATCATGTATTTCTTTAGTTACAACATTAGCGTCATCATTCTCCTTCTTGTTAGGATTCCTGCAATTCCTTTTTATGCGGTCAGCCTTGCTATAATTTTAGCAGGTTGCCTGTTCATCAGACTTTGATTTTGATCTTCCTCTGTTTGAGTTCATGTCATGTGATCTCCTTTTGAAATTAGCATTTAATGCCGAACTTGAATACGAGGTCTCGTCATAATCTTTCCTGCACACCTCCTCAACCAAAATCAAATCACAAATATCATCATATTTCAGCTTAGATTTTCCTGCAGACCTGCTAACTGTCATCCTCATGGCTTCCCAGCCCCAGCTATTTGACCCCAGCTATTTGACAATAAAACCAACAATATCAACGCACATATCTCATCATCAAAATCAATTTCAATAGACAACTGATTTGTGATAGTGTTGAAATCATTCAGGTGTTGAGTAACAAACACACCTTCCGTCATCTTCAAGTTGAATTACTTTTTCATCAACTGCACATTGTTATTCGCCGATGACTTTTCATACATATCTGATAAAGTCTCTATGAAATTTGTAGTAGTCCTCTTCTTGATGACGTTGTGAGCAACTGATCTCGATAAAGTTAATTGAATAACTTACAGAACCTGTCGATCCAACATATTTCATTCCGTCTCGTCCATCTTTTACGGTTGTTTTCCCAGTCACAGAAGATGAATTTTCTTCCCATAGAGACAGTCCTCTATCTGCATTCTCCAGTAAGTAAAATCTGTACCATTGAACTTCTAGATCCCCGATGCATCACTTTGTCTCCGCTCATCGTTCTTCCTTAGATCTGAACCCAAGTCTCTGATACCAGTTGTAAAAAAACGACGACAATAAAGCGAAAAATGGAACGAGAAAAATTGCTCGCAAAAAAATGCCAGAGCGACACAGATTTACGTCGTTCGACAAATTTGTCTATGTCCACGGAGCTGCAGAGGATTTTGTTTATTCAAGGAATTACATCGTCGAACGTCTCGACGTTTACAAGAAAATCTCTATTTTTTTTTCTCCCTTCCTCATTCTCTTTTTCTCTTTCTCTCTTAGAGGACGTGGCTTGACTTTATGTTTTTTAACAAGCTAAGAGAAGCTATTTATAGAAACCAGGAGAGCGGTAAGTGGGAGGTGGGTGAGCGGTAGATGGGAGGTGGGTGAGCGGTAGATGGGATGGTTGGTGAGCGATAGGTAAGATTTTTAATTAGAAAGCTAATTAACAACAATTAATTAAATTACGGTGAATCGGATCTTCACATTACCCAACATTACCCAACACAGATCTACTATAAATGTAATTTTAAAATTTATTTTTTATGTATTCAAAATAATTTTATCATATTCTCAATAAAATTTTCTCCTAAAAGCATTTAAATTTACCCACCCACTATTTTTGCGTTGGACCAAATTTTCATTCTTGCAGCAGCTTTCTGAAATAAATGCATTATCAAATCTCTTCTGCTTGACGTGTCTCATAAAATTTGCAGGTAGTGTTGATGTCTCTGATGGGATTTGCTCTAGTATTGCTGTGGTCCCACAAGCCATCGCAGCATTGAGTATCAAAACTTTTCCTCACTGGTAATTAATCCGTAATTAATCCGCTTTCGTAGAGCAATTTTTTTTTTTGGTGGCACTGGATGCAAAATAATGGGTATTTATGTAAATTATAATTTACCTTTGATTTAGATTGTAGAGAATAACAGTGATGTGTACGTTAGTCTCAATTCAGAATAGGGATTGTTGGTTGAGCACTTTCTGGTTGTTATGAACTCTTGTCAATTAAAATGGCTGGAACTTCACTGTTATATTCCATGTAATTTATGCCATTTTTCTGTTGAATAGTTTATAGAAGTTAAGGTGAAGTATACCCAAGTTATTTATTTATTTATTATGTATAGAAATTAAAAATTTAGATGTTAGATATGTAAATGAATAAGAATTTGGAGGTATGTGTGTTTATTATTCAAAAGCAGAAGTCACACTTGATGACATTAGTGTCTAAGATGACCAAATAAAAGAGGCACGAAAGACAAATAAATTTTAATTATAATATGATTGCATGCTCTGCTTGAAAAATTGTTAGGCTGGTGATTGCTTGCGCCTAACAATTGAACAACAAAGACATTGATCAACCCGACAACACCATTTGCTCGGTATCAACTATGGGTTTGTTTAAATTGGTTGACCACCATGATAATATAAAACAATCATTTGATATAGAAGATATGCCCTTTCACAACTCTCCATAAAGAGTGAATGAAATGTTTGACCATAAAAGAGCAAAATGATTCATAGAGCAATGATGAGAAAATAACATATTCTATGTGAATAGAATTAGATTCATGTTTTATAGATTGTTGTGCGTATTAGAGTTCACTATAATGAATTTTTTAGTTTAGTTTGGGAGAGAACATTGCGTTCAGTAGACCATACGTCTAGATGAAGGTCCGGATGTGGACACGTTAAGTATCCCACTTCAGCCTATCCGGATTGTCGCTCGGAGGTGTGGTTAGTACACCTAATATTTTGTTATAGTTTGGGCACATGTAATGTATCACATCAAACTAATCTGCAGAAAGAAAAGTCTAGTGATTCTAGCATTTGGACACTCTTAGCGGGTGTTTCGTAGGAACCTAAATCTAGCCAAAAAAAAAAAAAAAAAAATTAACTCTTCGTTAAATCGCTCTACCCTGCTCCATCTTCTATGCGACGTAGATCTAGATTTTTTAAATCCGATTAATGGCGGGTTTAATGGATTTATGCCTGTTGCTGGCTCGCAGAATTTATCGGATTTGATAAATCCTATTTAATGCAAATCTGGCGCTGGAGCCAAATACCGCCTTACATTTTATGAAATTTTTTTATTATTTATAATAATTATAGACCATTAATGAAAATTAGCTACATAAGTTCTATATATATGTCACATAAGTTCTATATATATAT